GAACAAAGCCTAAGGAGGGGTGGCTAACCCCTCCACTTTTTGCAACTTTTAATCACATATTTCAACCCCAAAACAGTCCAAAAATAGTCCTAAAATAGTGGCTAAAACTGCTTCAAAAAGGTGAAGAAAGTGAACCAAAATAAGAGAGAACAAACTAGACAAGCAAGCTTAAGGAGGGGTATCTAACCCCTCCACTTTTTGTAAATTAAATCACATATTTCAGCCCTTTTAAGTGACCTCCAGCAGTGCACAAACTCAAGGAAAATGAAGAAGATGATTAGTAAAAAACAAAGGAAAAAGATGGGTAAGAAGTATACCTCTTCAAAGAGTCTTGTTGATCAAACTTGATTCCATATACCCTCAAGTTTATGAAATATAGTTTGAAACTTCAACAAAAAGCTTCAAGGACATGCTCTAATGGTGTATGTGTTATGTATGTATAGCTAAAGAAGGTTTGAAGGTCAAAGGAGGAAGGATGATTGAAGGAGGTCTTTTTAGCTCTTCAAAGCTTTTGGAAAATTTGCTAACCTTAAATTCTGAATGCAGGGGGTTTATTTATAGAATTTGAGACAATTTGGCCAAAAATATCGTCAAAAAATAGCAATTGTCCAATTCCCATCAGCTATTTGTTTGGCACCATTGAGAGCCGGCCCGCTCCCAAAACACACGGCTGGACCCAAAAATGAAAGGCTAGGTCTAAAAGGCATTCTGGACAAATTTTCATTGAAAGCTGGCTGGCTCTACATGAGCCAAGGCCGGATCTAAATGGACCCGGCCGGCTTTAAAAATCTGCATTTCATGCCCGACTTCAAACGGGCATATCTCCCATATCTGAACTCAGTTTTAGGTGATTCTTGAGTCTAAATTGAAGCCCTGGAAGTATACATTTCAATGGTGGTGGCCTCACATCTAAATTATAAGTGTGAAAAAGAGATATGCCCAATTTAGTTAAGGTTGTTCATTATTTCTCAACTGTTTGATGCTCAACTTCTTCCTAAACTAGTTTTCTTCCCTCCCCTCCTATTTCCTTCAACTCCAAACCTATAAATAAGATATTTTAAATATTTTTCAAAGAGTTCACCTGTCTTCCATTTATTTCCACATTGTCCTTACTCGGTTAACCGAAAAGTGAAATGTTTTAAACGAAATGCGAGCCTTGGAACATCGTAGAAACATTTGGAAAAATATTTTGAAAAAAAGGGTTTTAAGGTTTAAAATAGTTTTGGCCAAAATGGGGTGCAAGGTTTGGGATTAGGGCTTGAATCCATATTTCTTCGCTGAGAATTCAAAAGATTGCATAGTGTAACTTTCATCATCGGATGTTTGGAATTAAGCGTTCAAGTCTTAAGGGCAGTAAAAAATGGGGTGTCTATAGTTGGTGCTTGCGTTTGTGTTGTTGTTGTGCTATTTTAACAGTTGGGTTTGCATATTTTGGTGAGTTTGTTCATGTTGTGTAACGTGTGTCGTTTTTAACATTAACAGTTGTATTTGTTGACGTGTGATAGGAAGGTCATTGATTTCGGTAAGGTATATCATTATTAGTATCCATGTAAATGAAGTGCAATCAATTACTGCATTTGGTTTGTCGTAGCATGTTGTTTTAACAATGCGGTATGTTTGTGGAGTTTGGTCATGTTGGCCTCATTTTTGTAAGCGTTTTACGAATTGATATGTCGAGGTGTTGTAATGAAAATTATTTCATGATGAATTGGGAACGTCAGTTATGGTGGAGTATGTGGGTGGTTGCGAAGGCTTCATTTGTGTTACTCGTACTTCTGTTGTTAAAGTATTATATAAATTTCCAATTGTGTAAAGTTCTTGTTATTGTGAAATGTTGTTGTGTAGATGTTGACGACGACTGAAAACACAAGATCCAACCGCAACTTGGAGGGTGTTTGAAATGGAATACTGGGATGGTTATAATGTTGTTTTAATTTTGTACTTATTTATGGTAATTTGTAGCATAATGTTGCATAATATTTGTACTCCCTGATATGTGGCATAATCAGTGAGTTTTGTGTGTGTGCCGTCTGGTGTTGTCGACTAATAATTGGACTACATGCGTGTCGTGGTGTGTTTTCAATGTTGATTTGCGTCGTTATCTTGTTGATGTTTTGTGTTTTATTTTTTGCAGGCTCCCATTATGATCACACTTGGATTAATGTTTCAATATTGCTATTGTGGCAAGTGGTGCATGATGTCAGAGCTCGGTACGTAGGTCTAGTGGACGAACACCCCACTTACAGCAGTCTATTCAAACGTCCACCAAATTGGTCAGAAAAAGGCAAACACAACTGTCTTTAAGGGGGGGGGGGAAACAAAAAGACACTAGTAGTGTTAGAAAATCTGGTGTCGACCTTTCAAGGCTAATGTACTGATCATATGTTGCTGGTGTCATGACCCAAACCCGCTCCTATGGATTAGAGTTACAACCAGCCAGCAATCAAGAGATTACCCATGGCCTCAGTCAAAATCAATTCAAATTTAATAATAGAGGGCCAAATTATGGAAGTAAAATTTGCAAAGATTGTCCAATGAGCTATGCATACATGGCTTAACCAAACCATTCTCATATTTATATAATAACTCACACCATACAAACATTCATATTATGTATGTATTACATACGTCTAGGATAATTCAGTAGTCAGTATTAACAAAACCAAGGTTGTACAGAATTGGTCATACGTGACCACAAAAGAACAAAAGGACAAATAAAACAAAAGCAAGGCCTCTTGCGTGAGGTGACCTTGGTTGATCTCTCAAAACTTGGTTTCTCATTGCTCACTGGGGCTGGGACTGGGGCTGGACATCTCGTTGCTTACCTGCATACATAAATATAAACAGTGAGCTAACGCCCAGTGAATAATACCAAAACAAAGGAGTTCATGAACAAGATTCTTATAATCACAATTCACTATTACGCTTGATAGTCGATGTTAAAGCAGAACGACCTTAGGTCCTTTCCATCATATCCCAAACACAAAACGACCTTGGGTCCATGTAACGTACAGAATGACCTTGGGTCCATCATAGGCAAAACGACCTCGGGTTCAACTTACATACAGAACGACCTTGGGTCCAACTTACATACAAAATGACCTTGGGTCTAACTTACATACAGAACGACCTTGGGTCCAACTTACATACAGAACAACCTTGGATCCATTACACACAGAACGACCTTAGGTCTAATTCATATACACATTTGTGTGCACACATTTAGATCCATGGTCAAATACATATTCATTCCCAAATGACCTTAGGTCCATTCCAGTCCTTATTCCGAACGGCCTTCAGCCCATTTAACAATTATACAAAACGGCCTTAGGCCCAATCCACATCCCTATTGAATATACTGAACGGCCTTAGGCCCATTTCATACTCATACGTTAATCACTTCGCATATTTCATTTTGAATTAGGTGATTAGAATACACAATCATACTATCACTTCAAAGGTTTAGAACCTTACCACATAGGCATAATTTAGAAGATTATGTATATGCAAAAATATCTTTGCTAAGATATTACTCACAGTGTTCCGGTGCTTGATTCGTCCTTGCATTTGACCTTACATAATTCATAACACATTGGGTCATAATACAATTCAATCTGTTCTTTAGCTTTCTTAATGTTCTTAGGCTTCTTCTGTGTCCTTTAATTCATTTAGGATGCTCAATGTGTGCCTAAGAATACTCAGAAATGGAAGAGAACGGAAATTTGAACATAATACTGTTTTTCAAAAAAAATTGAAACAGGGCACCTCGCTAAAGCGCAGCTTTGCTCGTTCGACCGGTCTGTAAAACTCTGTAAAAGTACTGCTGCATGAATTTTACGCTCGAGTGAGACTTCTGTCGTTCGAGCGATGTGCTTTGTAAAATAGGGTTCGCTCGTGCACAAGGTTTGCCGCTTAAGCCATCGTGCAAGTCTCTATAAAACTTTTGGGAGCTTGATTTTTACACTCAATGACGCTTCCCTCGCTCGAGCAGACATGCCAAATTCTGGAATCTCTAGAATTGTGTTTGAAGCTCAAGCTTGATGTTCAAAGGTCTAAAGCTCGTGTTTTTGGTACAAAGACATGGAAAGACATTATACAACATGAGAACATAGGTAAATTGAGTCTAATTTGTCCAAAACCATGATCCAAATCCCAAATCATTTCATATTCTTCTTGACAACTTCATAACACATGCAACCAAGATTCATATATTCAAGGATGATTCATGCATGTGAAATATAGACTCTAATTCCATGTCAAGTGATACAAATGATGATCAAAGTCATGAAGTTTAACAAAATTATGCGTGGATATGTAATTTGGCACCAATTCTTCATATTAAGTTTGTATTCTACAACAATTCACCAATTCTTCTTGAATACACATATTCATGAACTTTAATTCATGGATTGGAGTTCAAATACTCACTTGGAGCCTTCAATCTTCCAAATTCTAGCTAGTTCTTGAGTGAATTCTCTTTAATCCTCCAAGCTTGAGCTAAATCCTTGAAATTGTGTTCTCCCTACATCTATAATCGGCTCACTCTCTCTGTCTAGAGTGTATTTCAGATTTTGAGCTCATAATATGAGCTTAAGTGCATTTAACTTCTATATATATATATATATATATATATATATCTCCTTAATCAAACTTAATTAGAACTAATTAATTGTGCTTATTTTAATCAATTTAATTTAATTAATTCGATCCGAATAAACTTTTAATTAAATTTCACCATAGGCTCTAAAAATCATGCTAATCACAATGGTATAATCAATTTTGGTTTTTGACACCTCTACGGCCCTCAATTTTCAATTTATAAAAGCATACATAACAGATTTTCCTATGGTGGACAGATATAGTTTCAAAAACACATATAGTCGTATAATTAGCACTCAAAATCATATATAGTATGTAATTATAAGTATAATTAAAATTAATTAGCATAACAGAGATTAATTAGCATAACACAGAGTAGGGTTGTCAGATTCTTCCCCCCATTAGGAAGTTTGGTCCCCCAAACTTATGTTACCTTCCGTTGGAAACAAATGTGGGTGTTGTTGTTGCATTTCTTCTTCATTCTCCCACGTGGCATCCTTACCATAATGTTCCTTCCATTCCACTTTCACTATTGGAATGGTTTTGTTTCTCAGTTGCTTTACGTGTCGGTCAATGACCCATTTTGGCCATTCCTTGTACTTCATACTTTCGTTAAGTGCTATTTGGTAATAGTCAATTACGTGGAATAGATCCCAGAGATAGCCCCTTAACATTGATACGTGAAATACATTGTGCATTTGTTCTATTCCCGGTGGTAAAGCAACCAGACCATGCCTTTTTAGAATTTGAGACGGTCCAATGTGACGGGGTGATAGTTTACCTATTTTACTGCATCTTAATTGGCCTTTCATTGGATTCACACGGATGAACACATGATCACCAACCTCATACTCAAGGGGCCTTCTTCTAACATCTGCATAACTCTTTTGTCGGCTCTGAGCTGTCTTAAGCCTTTTTTCAATAACTTTGATTTTATTGGTAGCTGTCTGTACAAGCTTAGGTGCAAGCAAGACTCTATTCCCAACTTCAGTCCAGCATATAGGGGATCTACATTTTCGGTCATACAAAGCTTCATATGGTGCCATGCCAATGCTGGAGTGGAAACTGTTATTATATGCAAATTCGGCCAACGGTAGGTAAGTCTCCCAACTCCTTTGAAAATTCAACGCACACATTCGGAGCATATCTTCTAGAGTCTGTATAGTCCGTTCCAATTGTCCATCATCTTGTAGATGTAATGATGTACTAAGCTTAACTCTGTTCCCATTGTCGCTTGAAGACTGTTCCAGAATCTAGATACAAATTTCGGATCTCTATTTGGCACAATAGACATCGGAACTCCATGCAAACAAACAACTTCATTAACATAAATGGTGGCTAATCTATATGCATCGTACATAGTTTTCACAGGTAAGAAATGTGCAGATTTAGTCAGTCTATCAACTATAACCAAAATAGAGTCCATATCTCTAGGTGTCCGAGGTAGGCCAACAACAAAATCCATGGTTATGTTCTCCTACTTCCATTCCAGAATAGGGAGAGATTGAAGTAGACCTGCTGGTTTCTGGTGTTCAGCCTTAACTTGCTGACACTGAAGACATTTAGACACATATTTTGCAACCTCATATTTCATATTTGGCCACCAATAACTCTGCTTTAGGTCCTGATACATCTTGTTGTTACTCGGATGCATAGCAAACATTGATTTATGGGCTTCATCGAGAATTCTCCTCTTTAACTCGGGGATATTCAGAACACACAATATATCTTGAAATTTCAACACTTCATTTACAACACTATATCCCGGTTTCGGATTTGCTTCAAATTCACCAACTATCTTTTTGAGGAATTCATCCTCCTTTTGTTTCTGTTTGATCTCATCGATGATTGCCGGTTCGACTGAAATGGTGGCTATCATTCCACTTTGCTCATGTAATACTACTTCAATCCCGGATTTCTCAAAATCTTGCATGATTTCCTTTTGTTTAGTAAGTAAGCAAACTAAACTCCCCGTCAATTTTTTGCTCAAGGCAGCAGCAACTGCATTAGCTTTCCCGAGGTGATACTGAATCTGAAGATCATAATCTTTTATTAGTTCAAGCCATCTTCTCTGCCGCATATTCAACTCTTTTTGAGTAAAGAAGTACTTCAAACTTTTGTGATCCGTGTAGACTTCGCATTTCGCCCCATACAGGTAATGCCGCCAAATTTTCAAAGCAAATACAACTACGGCCAATTCTAGGTCATGTGTTGGGTAGTTCTTCTCATGTCGTCTTAATTGTCGGGGGGCATAAGCAATTACTAGCCCTTCCTGCATTAATACACAACCCAGACCTTTATAAGATGCATTATTATAAATCACAAAGTTCTCCGTACTTGTGGGCAATGTTAACACCGGTGCAGTAGTCAATCTTGTTTTCAGTTCTTAGAAGGCAGATTCCCTTTCATCATTCCATTCAAATGGTTTCCCTTTACATGTCAGTTGGGTAAGAGGTATAGCTATTTTTGAAAAATCCTTCACAAACCTTCTGTAGTACCTGACTAAGCCCATGAAACTATGGACTTCTGTTACATTTGTTGGTGTAGACCAGTTTACAATTGCCTCTATCTTCTGTGGGTTTACTGAAATCCCCTCTTGGTTGATAACATGCCCTAAGAAAACAACCTCGTCTAGCCAAAATTCACACTTCTTTAGTTTAGCAGATAATTTTTTTTCTCTGAGAGTTTCCAAAATAGTTCTAAATTATTGTTCATGATCAATTCCACTTCTTGAGTATATCAAGATATCGTCAATAAAAATCACAATAAACTCATCAAGGTAAGGCTTAAATATTCGATTCATAAGATCCACGAATGCTGTAGGGGCATTAGTCACTCCAAACGGAATAACAAGAAATTCATAGTGGCCATGACTCATTCTGAATGCGGTTTTCTCAACATCTTATGCCTTCACCTTCAACTGGTGGTATCCGGATCTCAAGTCAATCTTAGAAAATACTTGTGATCCCTGCAACTAATCAAACAAGTCGTCAATACGGGGTAAAAGGTATTTATTCTTTATCGTTACCTTGTTCAGTTCTCGGTAATCAATACACATGCGTAAAGTCCCGCCTTTCTTTTTCACAAATAATACCGGTGCACTCCACGACGAAGTACTTTGTCGAATAAACCCTTTGTCAAGTAGGTCTTGCAATTGTTCTTTCAGTTAGACATTATGTAGGGGGTTTTTGAGATAGGCTGAGTGCCAAGCACGACATTAATAGTAAACTCTATCTCCTTGTCAACCAATTCTCCCAATAGTTCATCTAGGAGCACATCTAGAAACTCTCTAACAATAGGGATACTGTTCAGTTCAACATTCATAGATTGTTCAGACAATAGACTACACAAGTAACCCTGGCACCCTTTCTTGATCAATTTACATGCTTTCATTGCAGATATCAAATAAGGTGGAGGCACTACCCCATTACCCCGAAACACAATTTCTTCTTGCCCTAGTGGTCTAAATACAACTTGTTTCATTACACAATCGATGGTGGCACAGTATTTAGATAATCAGTCCATACCCAGAATTACATCAAAATGTCTAAAGTCCAAGGGTAACAAATCTACATACAAGGTAGCATTCCTAATACGCATATCACAAAATCGACATACAGATGTACACAACACAGATTCCCCAGATAGAGCAGATACACACAACAAATATGGCAATGATTCTAGAGGTCTACTCAATCTAAATGCAAATGCATAAGTTGTAAAGGAGTGTGTTGATCCGGAGTCAATTAACACAAAAGCATCCTGATTGCATATAGAGATAGTACTTGAGACGATGGCTTCAGTATTCCGTGTGTCACGTTAGACAAGTGCAAAGACTCTCCCCTGTCTCATTGTGTCTCTGGTAGTAGCAGGCCTCGTAGTATTACCGTGATTTTGGGATGGATCCGGTTAAACTAATGGCTGGTTTCCCACTTTTTTGCTGTTCAATTTGGGTGCAATCCCTTGCCATATGCCCCATTTCACCACATCTGTAGCATGCCTCAGAAATACAATAACAAACCTGTCGATGCTTTTTACCACATTGAGTACATGTTGGTGTCGTATTTCTGGTGGAGCCCGAAGTGCTTGAGGACCTCATGTTTTGTTTCTTTGATGATTTCTTCCCTGAGAAAAAGCCTTGCCTCTTAGCCTTCCAGTCAGCTAGTGGTTTACCTCGATTGGCCATGTTAGCTTCTAATATTAAAGCTTGATCTAACACATCAACATAAGTGGGTTATTTTAGCACATTCACCCTTTCCAAAATGTCATTGCGAAGACCATTTTCAAACTTTCTCACCTTTTTATAGTCGGTGTCAACCATATATGGAGCGAATCTAGCCAATTCAGTGAACTCAGCTTCATACCCTGCTACAGTCAAATTGCCTTGCTTTAGTCCTTCAAATTCTGACACCTTTCTATCAAGGACACACTATGGAAAGCATTTCTCATAAAAGAGTGCAAGAAACTGTACCCAGTTAATGCCCTTGTTATCATCATGGATTAACATCCACCACCTTCTTGCTTCATCTTCCAATGTAAAGGTGGCCAATTATACTTTCTGTGTCTCCAGGCATGCGAATACCTCAAATAAATTTTCAATACCAAGGACCCAAGCTTCGGCCTTCAATGGGTCCACACCCCCGTGGAACAATGGTGCCTTCATTTTCTTATTTTCTTTAGTAAGGGCTATTATTCGGTTATCATTTTGCAAATCCGGTATAGGTTGCACCAAAGGTGGGGGTTACGGGTGTTGCCATTGTTGTTGCCTTAGTGTTTCTGCCATAACTTGCATCATTCTCTCCATTCGGTCATTCGGTCTAGCCGAGTAGTAGAGGATTCTTCTAGCTTATCGGCTCTTGTTCTCACCATTATCTAATAAGACTTGCATTATATTTCATATAGAAGATATACACAATATTCATATACAAAAGAGCACATTCATACAATCAGGCAACAGTTATATATATCATATAGTTGCATACTTCGAATCACTTAGCAATTTGTCAATGCATTCAAGTATACATTTATCATATGAATGCAACTTAGATCTTTTCTAGACACTATACTACTCATTTGGACAGGTGTGTGAGTTATTACTCGTGCTCTGATACCACTCTATCATGACCCAAACCTGCCCCTATGAATTAGAGTCACAACCGCCCAGTAATCAAGAGATTACCTACTGCCTCAGTCAAAATCAATTCAATCCGTTCTTTAGTTTGCTTAATGTTCTTAGGCTTCTTTCGTGTCCTTTAATTCATTTAGGATGCTCAATGTGTGCCTAAGAATACTCAAAAATGGAAGAGAACAGAAATTGGAACATAATACTATTTTCCAAAAAATTTTGAAACAGGGCACCATGCTCAAGCGCAGCTTTGGTCGCTCGAGTGGTCTGTAAAACTCTACAAAAGTACTGGTTACATGAATTTTACGCTCGAGCGAGACTTCTGTCGCTCGAGCGACGTGCTTCGTAAAACAGGGTTTACTCGAGCGCAAGGTTTGCTGCTCGAACCACCGTGCAATTCTCTGTAAAACTTCTAAGAGCTTGATTTTTACGCTCGAGCGACGCTTTCCTCACTTGAGCGGACAGACTGAATTTCGGAATCTCCAGAATTGTGTTTGAAGCTCAAACTTGATGGTCAAAGGTCTAAAGCTCGTGTTGCTACAAAGACATGGAAAGACATTATACAACATGAGAACATAGGTAAATTGAGTCTAATTTGTCCAAAACTATGATCCAAATCCCAAATCATTTCATATTCTTCTTGACAACTTCATAACACATGCAACCAAGCTTCATATCTTCAAGGATGATTCATGCATGTGAAATATAGACTCTAATTCCATGTCAAGCGATACAAATGATGATCAAAGTCATGAAGTTTAACAAAATTATGCGTGCATATGTAATTTGGCACCAATTCTTCACGTTAAGTTTTTATTCTACAACAATTCACCAATTCTTCTTGAATACACATATTCATGAACTTTAATTCATGGATTAGAGTTCAAATACTCACTTGGAGCCTTCAATCTTCCAAATTCT